AATTGAAGTCTGTTATTAGGCTGATCGATGCGATGACTTTGCAACCGTTTCAGGACATTTCCTCATACCACAAATCGCGTTGTGCGACTAGGTGTGTGGAACGTTAGGAGTCACACGAATCAACCCTTTTGATTGGTTAATCATGTGACTTACTTCATTTTGTTTTTATTTTGCTGACTTTAATTTCCCCTCCCAGGTACGAAGATTTGCCACCCAAGCTAATCTTCCCTTATCATTCTTCTCAAACTAGAGGGTTGCTTGAAATAAAATGACAGCAGGCCTTTCGCAATAGTTCAGGAATCCCCTGCTGATCACCAGATCTCAGGGTAATTTCCCTATTTTTCCCCATGGACGCAAGTGAGGGGTTTCATCTGCATCTCCCTTTTTGGTGGTGGAGAGCCCGGAGCTGTCCTTTCAAGCCTGTACTACAATCATTATTTCGTTGAAAACCGTACTATCGAAGTTCAAAGTGACCATAACATAGAAGAAAGATCGGCTTTCCTGACTGACGTTAAACAGATGGTCACGCGAAACTAATGGATCCATTTCTCGGTCATCAGCTGACATTAAACCCTGGAGATTTAATCAATTGCTCGTAAGGGCAGAATGTTGATTGTTCACAGTAGCCTGATCACAAGGACTGTGAAGTATATTGTGTCTAGAAAATTGTGCACGGTTATGGTTTCCTACACCATGTTTTATGGTCTTACAAAGATTGTAAAAACCACTTTCCTTGTTCCAATATGTGTCTCACTTTTCCATTTGTTTCACAGCCAGGTAGAGTGGCAACCCTGATTCCCTCAGCAAATCCTACTACCCGTGTATGGGGGTGCGCCTATGAAGTAACTGGTTCAGAAAACATTGACATCGCTTTTGAACACTTGAATCATCGAGAAGTTATCAACGGTGGTTATCAGTTTACAAAGGTAGAGTTCCATCCGGAACCGAGCAAATGCTTCTCAAACGACCCGCTGGAAGCATGGGTTTGCGTACATTTGCAAGACTGGAGTTCGGATAACACATCAAACGTAAGATTATCAGTCCCAAACGTAGCACTATACTTGGGGAAAGCACCAATTGATGTTCAGGTTAGTTGCAAATATCTGTTGATCTCCAGTGACATCCAATATTAATTTTCTCAGCCGTTGCTGTCCAGCTGATGCCGCATCACGACAAGTAGTTATCCGGTTTAGTGTGCTTCCGTTGCCTTTATCTCTATGCATAGGCCTGTTCGTTTTCTTAGTCAGTATGTCCATTACTAAAGGACTGCTTTGGCACTGGAAGATATCATCCTTGCCTAAACCACTTGACCTCATG